ATTTATTATATTTTTACGATATTATCAATGCCTGGCCATATGATAGGATGACAGGGAATTTGGTATCCATCGGACAAGAAAATTTAGTAATAAAGCGGACTAGGCACTTCCAGTCTTGGTATAAAGTTGACTATTCCTGATAAGAACCTATGAAAGCTCTTTCATGGAGTCCAATAATTGCCCCTACGGGGTGTGCGATAGACTTAACTCCACGTAGCGCACCCTGGACAACGTATACTCATACGGCAATAAAGTCTATTAACTGGCAGTTGACCTCTGACTTCAAACTACCATGACTCTACTAAATGTCATATTCGACCCCTTCCACAGTACTCATCTAGCCTTTTCTCTGCCGCAGCCAATGATATGAAAAATTGATATATCCGTTTGATAGCTAAATTCCTTACCATACAATCGGAACCGAATACAAAATACGGCATCTCAATGGAGTTCATAATAATTAAAATATCATTAATTACAAAGGAACTATTTAGTCCACCAAGTGGGGGAAATTTAATAATATTTCAGAAACATGTTCTAATGCTGGCGTCTATAAGTGTCAATGCTAACCCCCAGAGTTCAGGTATTAAAGGCGTAAATTAGGTTGTTTAGTGGCATGGAAACTATTTGAAAACTAACAGACATCTTGTAAACTATTTAGATAAATATCAACACGATGAAGTGATCCTACTATTCTTGATATTAACGCTCATATAATAAAGATTTAAAATAAACTCCATGAGAATGCTTACGCCCAGTTTGTAGTCACAAAACTCTACAAATATGTTCCATGTTCATGTAATTTCAGTAATTAATTTCCGTCCCTCAGAATAAAATGTTAATATATAACTATAACACCGCGTATAACCCATGGAATTGACTCGTATGTTCACAAAGAGAAAGAAATACATGTTTTCATGCACAGTAGAACAGTATTAATAATACCATCTCATCAGGGGTGTGCGATAGACTTACCTTCACGTGGTGCACCCTGAGCAACGCATACTCATACGGTAAAAAGTCTATAAACCGGCAGTTGACTTCTCACTTCAAACTACCATCACCACACTGTATGTCATATTCGACTACTTCCGCAGTATTCACCTTATCTTTTCTCTTCCTTTATGTCTGTCTCTTTTACATCTTTGAAACACTCTACTGTTCCCCCTCCCCTCTCCACTTTTTTCAATTTGATGTACCTTCCTCTCTTTGAAGCCTGTAGTCAACTAAAGGGCTAATGATATCCATCAAAACGCCTGCCATTTTATATAATAATAATAATACTATCTCATCATACTTCAACGTCGTGACAATGGTATTACGAGTTCAACCATCGTTCATCGATTGTTTCATTATTTGGTGGGTTAAATTTTATCATATGGAAGATGGAAGACTGAAGATTGGTGCAATCTTTTATGACCAGTTATAATCTGACCAAACAAAGCTTTATACACTGAAATAGTGGTTCACGTTCCCACCTCTAATCACGGGATTTTCCACACGGATAATTGGGATTTTTATCAAAGTACTGCATGATTAACTACTGGTTCTTAGATTATGATTAACTGTTTTACCTTCGGAAGAAATCAACAAATTTCTTGGTCTTGTCAGCGTGGACTCGAGAGAGCTATAATGATTTATTGATCTGTTAGTAAAAAGAAGAATAGAAGCTCTAGGGGGGGGGGTTCACTTCCTTACTGATCAAGAAAATCGTAAAATCATGTTGATTGAAATAATAAATAAAGTAGGCATAACGGTGCTAAGTTTTTGGGTTGGCATGACTACAAATCGATGTACTCGCTTCTTGTTAACTTTTGTTTTATGATCTTTCCTACTGGGGGGGGGGCTCTATTTGTATAACCAAGTTCAAAAATAACAATGGGAAGGCTTTACAACTGTTTACAGAAATGAGAAGATTTACTACAAGATATGCTTCTTCGTCAAACGCTTTAGTATCAGAGGAAGTTGTTAAAGGCAACCTACTGTGCTAATAATTAAGTAGCAATTACTATTAATGTGGCTCGAATGTAATGTAAAAAAATCAAATTTTGCCTCACCAATAGTTAATTAGATATAACTAGTGCAATTATCCGATTTGCTCACAGTGTGAACAGAGCTCATAACTATCAACACTTTCGACGACAATTCTGATTTATGGGGCCACGAATGCATGGCATGACCAAGAAATGCGATTTTTGATTACACTTAAACTTAAATTTCCTTGCCACGCACTATGATTCAGTGCTATTATTGTGCTATGTGAAATTCGTTTTTTTTCAATCATTTATTTGCAATTTGGACCCCAGTTTTCAGGTAACGTACTTATTGCCATTTTCAACAGCAAATTACCTTCGAAATTACTTTGACACTTTGTTTGCCCTGTTGAATCCATTTTGGGAAAATAGATGATAACTTCAAACTATGTATTTATTGCATTAGGATTAGCTAAACATATTTTTTCTGCCGGCATTTTTCAGAAGTAATAGTGGCAGAAAAATACCATGTAAATATCAGGCAATAGTTGAAGGAATAAGAAGAATGAAAGATTTAAAGACGGAAGAAAGAGTTTTTGAAGTCCGCGCGGCTCCGAGATAGGGCACAAAAATATCAGTAGAGGGAGAAATTTCACTTTGCTGAGACAGGCATAGGTTGTAGTGAGTTAAGATTTTCGAAGGATTCTCGACACCTAAATGTCACGAAAAAAAACACTATTAAGTCATTTTACATCTCTCCATTTCTAATGAATGTATGCACTTGTATATCAAATAATTTGTTATATAAAAAGTAACTACAAGGAATAATCACTACCATTTTGTTGGATTTAAATTCAAACTACTATAGAAATATATATATATATATATAGGTAGAGCGAAAAAGCTAGATTTAAACAAATATCGTTCTCAACCATTTTGAAATGGCCTTAATTTGCATGATCAAAGCTATGAAGTAACTAATAAATAAAATCTAAATGATCGAAAATGAGCAAAACAATTAGTTTGAGCATTAATATACTCGAGCTTAGCCTGAGTGTAGTAAGTGACCACTCCTTAAATGATGCTAGACTAAGCACTACCTGAATTAAGCTCATTACAAGCTTTAAAGTTTTTTTCAAAAGTATATTAGACAAAATTCGAGGAGCCACTATAAATACGCATTTTGCTTTTCCGTGGGAAAGGACTATTTATTGCGCTATCTTAGTGCCTCCTGATTTATTTGGCCTTTCCTTAGTTGATATCAGCTCCAATGATCCTAAATCTGCTCCCCTTTTCCACCTAAAATGTAATATCAATAAATACATGTGTGTTCGAGTGTGAGTGATACTGTCCTTAAGTTCCTATTAATTGTTAATTAAAGTTAGCAATATTGCGATCAAACTTACAAATTTTGAAAGACAAGGAAATGCCAAAGCACAAAGGACTTATTGTGTCCTGAAAAGAAAGGAAAAAGTATTTAGTGCTTTTAGTCTTTACAGCATTACAAGGCTAAAACTGTGACTGTCCTACTTAACTAACAACAAATAAAAGACAGAAGTCAATCGGCAGAATAAATGATCATGCTCGTCATGCCTTAATTTTTATGCTTATTATTGAATTAGGCAGGATAAATTATATTTCAAATAAGTATTGACGACACCATATTTAGGGAAGTTCCACTTACCATAATTGTATTTCAAAAGGTGCATAGCTATCCCTAAACAGAGGTTTTTTACTTTTAGACATATATACCAAAATGCCCTTTGCTGCCAACCGTATTTATAAATTCTTATTTAATTTCTTTCCCCAAAAAAATAAGAAGCGCAATGCGAGGAATATATGGCTTACCGAGGCATTTTGTTCGGCAATGAACCCGAAGTACCATCGGCCAATTCCGTCTTGATTTGAGGTACTGGAGGTTGTTTTTCAGTTGAATTCGACGGTTTTGGGTTACTTGATGAGGCGGGTTGCCCAGTAGCACTGCCATGGTTGTTTAGTTTGGGTCCATGCTGAACAATGGCTGGTTGGGCACTCTGAAACAAGCAAATAATTGCTTCACGTCACCTGGTACTTAATTTTATTCATCTGTAAATAGGCCAACTTTAATTTCAAATTTCCTTGCCACTGCATTCCCTATGAAGACTATCATTAATACCATTTTGCCTGAAATGGGTTCTACTTGGTTAAAACTCTGACGCATTAAATACTCGCAAAGCTGTAGGCGTTTTGCATTATTAAATGGATCTTTAACTTACTGGCAAAGGGATAGTCAATCGATCCTGTGTTGGTAATGCTTGACCATAAGTGATCGTATTCGTTGGAATAGGTGTAGGAGCAGTTGGAATGGGAATACGCATCGCTTGTCCAGCTTGAATTTGTTGCAATAGGGCCGCGGCTGTGGGATTCAGTTGACCGAGCTGAGCTGCGCAGTACTGTGAAAATGGATCCAGTTGTTGGGGTGGAGCCATTGGAACCTGGTTATAATACCCAGCCTGGGTGTTGCCATTCAAGCCTTGGATTAATTGCGCTGGATTTATACCCGCGTATGGTAGTTGTGAAAAATCCGCCATGAGTGTATTTGGATTATACACTATAGGTTGGGCGCTAGGGTATGGTGATGGTTGAGCAGTCTGTAAAGCTAAAATATAAAATTATTCCTCAGTGAATTCCTCCGCATTTCTTCAAATGGATTGGCCTTAAGAAGACTTGCAGTGTAAGTTTGCATAAGTCAACCATATTCAATGACAATTTCAGTGCCATCAACTCCTTATACATCTATTTGTCTTCTGTTCTTTTAACACACAATTCTAATTGCAAAAAGAAGAGAGAAAACTTATCACTCCCCCCTCCCTCCATTGATAAACCAAAAATTCATCGATTTGCTTCTCGTTCTTCTACTAATTATAATCTTAGTTCACCTCGTTGCCGAATTTTTAAACACTATTCATAACGATTTTCAGCAACTGCCTTGAAATTTGTCCATCATCAATCTATGTATTTGCATTATTTCAATTCATATATTTGTTACGTACTTGAAAGGAGAATCTGAGCTATCTGATCTTGGGTAAGTGCGTAGGGCATATTAGTAGGTAGGGGAAGTCTTGGTTGCTGTGGAACTTGTGGGGCAGGTTGTTGCCGAACCGGAAGAGCGGGATTTGCTGAATTATTTAAACCAGTGCCTTGCAGATAACTTGGTGGAATTGCGAGAGGATTTAACGTGGGATTCGATGGTCCAGCAGCAACAGGCGCAACAGGATGATTGTTAGCTGCCGGTGTGAGATACGAATTGGGGTTTGGCCCGGAAACCATTGACACCGCTGAAAAAAACACGCAACGCAAAATGCGATGTTAAGGCCAAATTAAGGCAACTACTTTGGCGCAAGCATGCAAATTCCAACTTAACTTCAGTTAAGCTGAAATTTTTCCCAACATTCTTTTGCAAAAAAACACATTCAGTAATTAATAATAATACAAAAATTAACGCTAACCTGCTTGAAGCGCAGCATTTTGATTTTCGAGAACTTCTTTTGGAAGGGCTTTTTTAACTTCAACCTAGATGGAATAAGGTAAGAAAAGCATGTGCTATTTTACCCACCTTTTTATCATTAATGCAGAAGTATTTATGGTGAATGACACTCTCTGCCGTTGCCTCATTCATAAAGTAGACAAATCCAAATCCTTGCAAAAAGAAAAAGAAAATAAAATGAATTTGATGAAAAAACCGTGCCATAATTTTAAATTATTTGCTCATGGCGTACCTCGAAAGCGTCCATTTTCCTTCTCTCTTATTAAATCAGCGTGGTCGACCTGGAATAAAGACATTAGAGAGTAATTATGTGGCTGTGGAAGGACAATCATCTGACGTGCATGCAGAATTAGTGGAATCAAGGGGAGGAACCTTCATCACAAAATTAAATAAAATGTTCGTGGTGTTAATAAGGGTGCTATTTTGAAGTAAATTAAACAAATAAAAGTTTGCCCGATGCTTACTTAAAGTGATTTTGAAAAATCGCGTTTAATCTTGCTAATTCTATACTATCGAAATCCGATCTAGTGATAAAACTCTGCTTATTCTAATGTGAAAGTTAGTCCACCCTCTAACTCATAGCCAATATATTAATCTGATAATTAAACGTAATAATAGTTTCTTACTTGTATCGCCACCTCTATCACAGGAGTCTTAAAGTGAATCATATACTACTAAAATTAGTAAAGACAACCACGTGTCAGCTTCGATCTACGTGACTACTGTGTCTTTTAATTACTTTGACCTCAGGTGACCTTCAATCTCTCTTCCGTTACTGACGAAGGAAGCGAAATCTCTTTTTAGCAAATGTGTCTAAGTTGCACTCCAATGAAATTTGCATTTTGCAGATTTTAAAATGAAAAACTTTGAGGGGCGTAGATGGAAGTGGCTAGAATGAGAGATGAAAATTAAGACATCATTAACAATTCCTATTATTATATGTCTTTACAATGCTCAATTTGAAATGAACTTATACATAGGACTGGAGTTAGTTAATTAAATAAATCTACACTCGAACTAAGACAAACAGACATGAGACGGCCAAATTTTGACTAAAAGGCAAATGAGTCGCATATAGGTTAATGGGAAAGCAAAGTGTAAACTATATGTGTGAATATCTAAATTGTCTTTTCAGGTTTGATTTGGGAAAATAATCAGATGCCTTATTTTGATATCACCTAAATTACTGCGCTAGCAGTTGCAAACAATACTTCGTTGTCCTCGTGGTTTAAATATTCTAACATAATACAAGCACGATCCAAGTTGACCTTAAAGTATACTGATACTAGCATTATGCTCGCAACAATAAATAAGCCAAAGGACAAATAGTTGCCAACGCTGAAATATGAATTGTAAAACTAAGAGTGCAACTCAGATAAGTACTTTAACAATTTTTAAATCACTAGGACACATAACTTAGCTTTCGAAGTTTCAGGTCATGCAAAATTTCAAAGCGTGGTCTGTTTTACCTTACTTCAAATAATTTAAGGTGGAAAAACATAATCTAAACAAAGTGGCAGGCTCTGAATTTTCATTTAATCAATACAAAATCCTAAAGCTACGTTTGATAGTGGATTGTTTTGTATGTCTTTAATCCCAAAAGTAGATAGCTTTGCAGCCACTGGGATAATTCTCTGCTATTAAAATAAATCTAGAGCATGCTAATGCAGGCAGTCTTTAAAAGTTATCAATAAAACCAGTGTAGTGAGGGTGAATGATAAGCATACCCCCTGAAGCTTATGAACTGCATGACAATGGAACCAGATGATGGGAAATAAATCCGAATATTCTAGACTAATAGTACTATAAATACTACTCAAATTACCCAACAATATTTCATCCTGCACATGGAATCTATTAATGTATAAATGTTGTTAGTACTATATTAGAAAAACCCAAAGAATAAAATGATTTTGAGAGAATGCAAAACAAAAAACTCGAACTTACGGGACCGAATTGACTGAAGAACTTCACCAAGTCCTCCTCTTTTGTATTCTGTGGTAATCCGCCGACGAATATCTTCTTTGTTCTAATCAATGCCTGCAAATTTTCATAGACGGCTTGATTAACTGAGGTATCACCATAATTTTGATTTAGAGCAACACCGTCGTGTCGTCGCTTAGACCCAGTATATACTTGAGTGTTTTGCATCGTTCTGAATTCGAACCGGAATAGTGAAATAAGCGATGTATATATGTGCATATCTAACCAATAAAAACTCGACTAGGTCAGGTCATGGTGCTCGCGTGCGTATGTTCATACCGAGCTCGGCTTGTGATAGGCTACCACTAGAATCGAGCGAGTGCTTCAAATAAAATCGAATTTCAACCTCGCTAGAATTTAATATCTATCCATTTTTATATGATAGAATCGGTGTACATATTATATAAAGATAAGTAAACTGACGTTGTGCGAGGCTTTCAATGTAGTTTGCTTCGGGACGGCTATTTTAGGTTCGATCTAAAAGATTGAAAAAAAATAGTAAAACGTTTCCTTTTCACTTACGTTTATAAGTTTTGGTAAAAAAATAGTAAAATGAAACAATACTGCTTCCAAAGCTCTGCTAACTTAGTATCTTTACCCCCTAGTCTCTGATATGTTTTAGCTGGAATTTGGGAAATATCCTGTAAAATCAATTTGACTTTCAAACTGATTTGGAGAGACAACCTATTTTGCTTAAATGAGTCAATTATGTTAGGAAATTGGGGTAATCTAGAGGACGATTCATTTAGGTTGCATTCTTGGAACTTAACTTACCTATTTAGTAAATAATATAAAACTCGAAACTCAAAACCAAGTGAAGCGCAATGTTTTGATACCTTGGCATTGTTTTCAGCATTTTTTGATTTCCCTCTCTTAATAATTTTCCATTTCTGTTGCTTCCGAGAAAAGTAAATTGAATATACACTAATGCCACTTTAGAAGACAAAATCCCTTAATCAAATTTGAAGAAGGAGCCCTATGATGGGTATACAATGCATAAGTTGGTCATTAATGAGAATTATAACATTTCTCAATCGCCCACAAAGATATGTATTTCCGGCATTTAGATTGGTTAGAGTAGGTGTATCTTTCTACAGTAGTTAGCCACATAGATTTCGCTTCAACTCTTTTGATTCCTTTATGACTCATTTCAACTTCAAGCACTCCACCTCATAACATCCCTCCGCTGGCGATCGTTAGATTCATCATTCAAATTCAATTCTCTCTTCTACCCTTTCCAATAAGTATAGCAAACTTTCTTAATGGAGTTATCGTTTTAGATAAACGCAACTTTTCAAAGAAAACATCTCTTCCATCGCCGACATAGGCTGATACATTCTACGACATAATAATCCTATGGTACGCACTGGCAATAAAACATATTCTGTGATCTCCCTTTTCGAACACAATCTGCTCTCACCATTCTCATGAACTCTAACTTAGTAGACGGGCACATTAGCCATTGCTTCAATGCAAAATTTCCTGTTTTACCAAGTTACACACAGTCTTAAATTATCAGATGAAAATAAATTTGGACCGAAATTGCAATCATTTGTTGCACCCGTTTTCAAAACTCCTGTTTCGAGAGCGAAATGCGTTGTGATTAAAACGTGCTCCAAAAGTACACATTTCACCCCACTGAATAACAATACTAAGCTGTACTATAACTACTTATACAAGAATGATTAAAAAGGGCATTATTAGGTAAGACTGGCAGTCACTGACTAGAATATCAAGTTGTAAAGTGCCTTTTAAGTTTCGTACAAACTTTTACGACTATCTAAGCATGCTTTTGTTAAGTAAATCAACGCCGTATCGTATCGTATCTCCATTGTTTAACGTGTTCACAAATAAACTCAGTCAAGAGATGAAGTTATTACTTAAAGTCTTATAGTTTCAGCATAGTGTTCTTTAATGGGAAAATTTCACTCCTTATTTGCAATTTTATTATTATACTAATAGGGTGTGCGATAGACTTACCTCCACGTGATGTACCCTGGGCAACGCGTACTCATACGCATAAAGTCTATAAACCGGCAGTTGACTTCTGACTTCTGGCTGATGATAACCATCAAAACGCCTTCCATTTGATATAAATATTATACTTATATTTGCAATTGGTTTCTGACTTAAGAACTTAAGCCATTGAGTGTGGCATTGAGTGTGAATAGGAAATCGATAAAGCACAATAGAATGCACACGTTTGCCAAGTATATCAGCATTAGCGGAATGCCAAGACAGTTATTTCAACAAAAAATTAGTTCTGTGAAAAAGAATTTAAAGTCAAATGCCGAGTTATAGACTTTATTTTTAAATATATGTTTTCCAGGGTGCACCACGTGGAGGTAAGTCTATCGCACATTCATCTGTGAAAAATGGCATCAATTATGCAATTATTATGAGTTTTCAGTAGCAATAACTACAAATTTTAAAAAAAGAATCTGCGCAAAAATGCACGTCTCTTAAGTTCAGATCCTTTGCGGGTATCGTCGTTATACCCTGGATTTGTGCCTTAAAACGAATTTCAGAGTTTAGCACTTTTAGGGTTTGGCCGAATGCATTCTAAGTTTAACTAAGTGAGAGAGAGAGATATTATCAGCTGACATTTTCTTTAAATACCAAAAAGCCAA